GTGCCGCCGCTCCGCCGGGCGCTGCTGCTGTGGCAGCTGCTGGCGGCGGGCGGTGCGGCGTTGGAGATCGGCCGCTTCGACCCGGAGCGCGGGCGCGGACCCGTGCCGTGCCAGGCGGTGGAGATACCCATGTGCCGCGGCATCGGCTACAACCTGACCCGCATGCCCAACATTCTGGGCCACGCGTCACAGGGCGAGGCGGCCGCCGAGCTGGCCGAATTCGCGCCGCTGGTGCAGTACGGCTGCCACAGTCACCTGCGCTTCTTCCTGTGCTCGCTCTACGCGCCCATGTGCACAGACCAGGTCTCGACGCCCATCCCCGCCTGCCGGCCCATGTGCGAGCAGGCGCGCCTGCGCTGCGCGCCCATCATGGAGCAGTTTAACTTTGGCTGGCCGGACTCACTGGACTGCGCTCGGCTGCCCACGCGCAACGACCCGCACGCTCTCTGCATGGAGGCCCCGGAGAATGCAACAGCTGGCCCCGCCGAGCCCCACAAGGGCCTGGGCATGTTGCCTGTGGCGCCGCGGCCCGCAAGGCCCCCGGGCGACGCAGCCCTGGGACCGGGTGGCGGCACTTGCGAGAACCCCGAGAAGTTCCAGTACGTGGAGAAGAGTCGCTCCTGCGCGCCGCGCTGCGGCCCCGGCGTCGAGGTGTTCTGGTCAAGGCGTGACAAGGACTTCGCGCTTGTCTGGATGGCTGTGTGGTCAGCGTTGTGCTTCTTCTCCACGGCCTTCACTGTGCTTACCTTCCTGCTGGAGCCTCACCGCTTCCAGTACCCCGAGCGCCCTATCATCTTCTTGTCCATGTGCTACAACGTCTACTCGTTGGCCTTCCTCATCCGCGCGGTGGCCGGCGCCCAGAGCGTAGCCTGCGACCAGGAGGCGGGCACGCTCTATGTGATCCAGGAGGGCCTGGAGAACACGGGCTGCACCCTGGTCTTCCTGCTGCTCTACTACTTCGGCATGGCTAGTTCGCTGTGGTGGGTGGTGCTGACACTCACCTGGTTCCTGGCTGCCGGCAAGAAGTGGGGCCACGAGGCCATTGAGGCCCACGGCAGCTACTTCCACCTGGCAGCGTGGGGGCTGCCAGCCCTCAAGACCATCATCATCCTGACCCTGCGCAAGGTGGCAGGGGATGAGCTGACTGGGCTCTGCTACGTAGCCAGCATGGACGCAGCTGCGCTCACCGGCTTTGTGCTGGTGCCCCTCTCCTGCTACCTGGTGCTGGGTACCAGCTTCCTCCTGACTGGCTTTGTGGCTCTCTTTCATATCCGCAAGATCATGAAGACAGGTGGCACCAATACAGAGAAGCTGGAGAAGCTAATGGTCAAGATTGGGGTCTTCTCCATCCTCTACACTGTGCCCGCCACCTGTGTCATTGTTTGCTACGTCTATGAACGCCTCAACATGGACTTCTGGCGCCTTCGGGCCACAGAGCAGCCATGCACAGCAGCCAGTGTGCCAGGGGGGCGGAGGGACTGCTCACTGCAAGGGGGCTCGGTGCCCACTGTGGCTGTGTTTATGCTCAAAATTTTCATGTCACTGGTGGTGGGCATCACCAGTGGCGTCTGGGTATGGAGCTCCAAAACTTTCCAGACATGGCAAAGCCTGTGCCACCGCAAAATGACAGCGGGACGGGCGCGGGCTAAGGCCTACCGGGCACCTGGGGGCTATGGCCGCGGCACCCACTGCCACTATAAGGCCCCCACTGTGGTCTTGCACATGACTAAGACAGATCCCTCTCTAGAGAACCCCACACACCTCTAGGGACACAGGCCTGTGCAGGGCGGCTGTTGCCCTGCCTCACCTCTCCCCCTCCTGAGGAGACAGCTGACTAGCAGCTGCCCAGCTGTCAAGGTCAGGCAAGTGAGTGTGAGGGGCCCAAGGACCAGGGTGGGGAGATGGTTTTAAGCCTTGTCAGAAGCCAGTGAGGCTCACTCCCCTATTGCCCAGTGCAGGGAGTGAGCCTGGCTGATTCCCATGGGTGTTGGGGGAGCATGTGAGAGGAGGGGCAGGAGGGTGCATGGTCCAGCAGGGAGTTTATTTAATGATGTAATTTATTGTTGCGTTTCTCTGGAAGCTGTGACTGGAATAAACCCCCCATGTGGCAATGCTGAGTCCTGTCTGGGCTGGGAAGGGAGTCTCGGTAGGAGGGTAAGGGCCTTGCAGGAGCCTCCTAGTGAGCAGAGCTGGGTGTAGATGCCAGGCTTGTACCCTCGCGCAGCCTCATTTTCTGGCTCCCCACCAGTCACTGAACAGCTCTGTTTTGCAGGTTCTGTTTTTCTCTGGCCTGTCTTTGCTCCTTTGGCAACTGAAGCCGCGGTTCTTGCTTTCCAAAGGGATGCCAGTGGAGACTCACAGGGAACTCCCTGGGAGGACACCCCCACCTCTAGGCTGTTTAAAGGGCTGCAGGTACATCTTCTCTGCCTTAGACTGCTTTCCTCACTTGGTAGAAAATACGAGATGCTAGCTCAGCCCACTCCAAGGAGTGTGTGGCCACCCCCAGCAGCTTAGATCCCTAGGGCCTGTCCTGGTCTCCGCTTTAGGCATGGTGTCTCCAGCCAGTTGAGTATCCCTTGTTTACTGTTCCTAAGACACTCAGCAGTGACACTGTCACAGCCAGGTGGCCCCGAGGACCCAGCCACACTACCACCCTCATTTAGAGGGACTAGGAAGCCCTCAGACAACAGCTCCATTGATCAGCAATGGGGCTGACTGACGCTCAATCCCAGGGCCTCCCTGGTCAGAGCTCTCTGCCCTGCATCAGCCACCACCAACCTCACAAACCTGGTGAAAGCCAAATATGTTGGGTCAAATTCCCAGATTAACTCCGGCTTGCAGTTGAGGGGGTTAGGGTCCCCAGGGTGTTTTGCAACCTTCTCACCTTTGCTTATGCAGTCTCTTGCAGGTGGAGTGCGCTCTCCCATCTCACTCCTCCTCGGTAGGCCCATGGTTAACACCCCCAGGCCTTCTTTGACCAATGAAATCAAGTGACCCCATAACCTCTCCCTAGAAGGATCCTTGTGTGAGGAACAGATGAACTTATTGAAGGTGACAGAGCCCGAGCTAGGAAGGGGAGGAGCAGGAGAAAAAGCCACCAGAGCTGGGCTAACAGGCCGGGCTTAGAGAGCAGAGCTGCAACTGAGCACCTGCCCCAGGGCCGTGGACAGCCTAGTAAAAGGCATGTTCTGAGTTCTAGTGTGAAGGGGAAGGTGAACATCATGGGAAGGCCACCCAATTTACCCTTTTCCTAGCCAGTAGTTGGATGGTGAGGGTGGCGCTGGGCTGTGTCCAGCTGGTAGGGAACAAGCTGGCTTCCGGGACAACTGGGCTGGGAAGCAGGTGGTGAGGGGGGCAGTGCAGTCAAGACAGCCCCCTAAGGGCCCTGCTTTTGAGGGAGGGTTCACATAGACCAGAGCCTGGGAGAGCGGGTTGCTGGGAGCCTTGCCAGGGAGGCCTTCTCAGCCTAGAAGACACCATGGTAAAGTCCCAGACCCTGGAGGAAGAAAACATTCACTAAAACCTCTGAGGTCCTCCACTTGCTCTTCTCTCCATTTTAAAGACGGACGAGTGTTCGGTCTAGCTCCAGAGCTTCAGCAATTTCCATACCAAGGATTCTGTCAGTCAGCAGAGGGACAGCAGGTGTTACAACCTACAGTACTTTTTTTCCAGGGAGCCCCTCCCACAGTAGAATTTCCCACCCCCAAAAGAAATTTTAGACTCACCAACAATTGCCTGAGACACACCTGTACACCTAGCCCCCCACCCACCAGTGGCCCTGGTGACCCAACTTGTGGCCCTCCAGAGCAGCCTGTCCACGGGGACTGGGCCTAGCCACATGGTCAGAGCTGGTGGGTGGGTGAGACCAGAGGGCCAGAGAATTTCTCAGCCCTAACCTCAGTGTTAGTTCCAGGGAAGCAGTTCAAAGTTCACAAGCGTTAACAGGGGTGCTCCTGACAGAGGCCAGATGGGGGTGGGAAGGGGTCAGAAGCTGCTCAGCCCAACCCTGAAGGAGGCAGCTACAGTACTGACAGGGGTCTCTGGGGTGTAAAAAGGCCTCAAGACCACAAGCAAGGGTAACCAAAGGCAACCCTCTCTTCCCACCTGGCTTCTCATTCACTCAACATCCTACCAAGGAGAATCTGGTTGCACAGCAAACTGGAGACATGGCTTCTCAGTAGAAGGGGAGAGGCAGCACAGCCAGCTTCTCTGGAGCTGGAGGACTGGTCAAAATGTAGCTGGGGCCAAACCACTTCCTCCCCCGCAAGACTGAAAATCGCCACGTGCACACTCAGCGCGGGCCTGGCTTGAAGCCCTCACTCAAGAGCCCACAAAGCAGAGAGTGACAGAGCCATCACCCAGGGTTTTGGATTTTTCTGCTTTTCCTTCTGCTGCAAGTAGCTCAAGTGGTAAGGAGCCAGCAGTTTCACTTCTTAGTAAGTGGGATCCTACCATTGGCTGCTTCCAAGCAGTGGCAACCTGTGACTTTATAAAAACTCCCAGCACAAAAAGCATATATAAAAGATGGCACGGTAGAACTGTTGAAGCCGAAAATACATGGGAATTCACCGTAGTTTTCACTTTTCGTGTGTCTGAGAGATATTTTAAAGTGTCAGGCATTTTCCGAAGTCTAATGCTAAAGATTAAATTTAAACGCGTACAGTAGAGACTTAAAAAGTACTTTCCTCTAGCTCCCAAGTATCTGAAGCAAAAATTTGGGGGTTTTAGACAAGCCAAGTCAGGAGAGGCTTGACGGTGATGTTTCAGTCATCCAAGGTCTCAGCAAGACCTGGAAGGAAGCCCCGCAGTGATGGGTTTGGGTGGCTAACATCCCCAACCTGGCTCAGGAGTAGACAGGGAAACAGTGCTCAGGACACTGCCCACCAGCGAGAGCACTGAGAAAGACTCACCAGGATTATTTCTTCTTTATAAACACATAATGTTTATTTGAAATTCCAATTTATTACAAGTTTACCCTTTAATGAGGCCCTTCCTCCTTAAAGTCAACTTAAAAAAAAAAAAAAACAACAAACAATTCAGGTGTCACTGAAGTGGGAACACAGGATTCTCACTGTTAACGAGAACAGACTGGCTCTAGGAGAAGAGGCAGGGGAGGCGTCGGCGGCTGGGGTCATGAAATTGTCCTATCAGTGCTAACTCCAAACCTGTGGGGAAGGGGCAGTGAACCTATCCACCAGTCACTGGAGCAAATTCCCTGTCCTTGGGTGAAGAGGACAGGTGAGAGTAGGGGCCACACCTGGAAGTTTAATATTAAGATGCTTTATTCGCAAGGTCTACGAGTTGCAATCCCCTTTGCAGATTTCTTTTCCCTAACTTAAGTAGGTACATAAGAGCTCAGGTGCTCAAATTTCCAAATTCAAAGTTGATAGAAAAGAAAATTAAACCCTGTTTTGTATTTTTATCAAAATCTGCCATAAAAGGGAAAGACTACGCAGTTTTACCTAAATGCGCTAGACTCCTTGGGGTAGGGGCTTTCTGAGTTTCTTTCTCCTCCTGCCTTTCCTCCCACCCCCCCCACCAGACACCTGAGATTCAGGTGCTGGGAGTTCCAAGTCTGACGCGGAAATGAGATGGGAGGCGGCTGTACATGGAGGAGATGCAAACAGCCACCAGGGCAGGCAGGGTGACGCCCCTTCCTTCCCTACCAAACCCCACTGTTGCTCCGAAGAGCCTCCAACCCCACTTCCTGAAGAATGGGCCGAGGGAGATCGGGCAAAGTAAAGCAAACACGTTATCATATAAATTGTACTGTACATGTGCCAAAGCAAGATGACAAATATTTTACAAGATGTTCTTTATACAATATCACTGCTGAAACAAGCAACTTTTTTTAATAACTAGAAAAGTCAATTAAAAAATTAAACATTTAAATTCTTCCTGCTTTTCTTCTGCTCCCCTAAGAGCTTGTCTGGTATGTGGGTGGGCTGTGCTCCAACACCCCTCTGGCCAGATCCATCAAAGTAAAGGTTATATGCATGATTACAAGCAGGACTCCAGTCTCTAAGTGAAGTGCCTTGGTTTTTTGTTTTTTTTTTTGTTTTTTTTTTTTGTTTTTTTTTTAGTGGGTGAGGTGGAGTGGAATTGGGGCAAGAGTTGTCACAAAGAAGGGAAAGCATTCAGGAATGGCTCCAGGGCATGTCCCTTTACTCTGCCAAGATCAACTCAGACCACAACTGTTTCATGATGCTGGTGAATACAGAATTCTGTATGGCACTCACTGATACTGTCACCTGAGGGAGAGGAAGAGACAGAGTGCGGGTTTAAAAAAGCAAAATGATGTATCACCCTGATCCTTCCATGTAATTCAGTAACCCCTCCCCTGGAGAACAGAGGGCTTGGCACTGTTGTGATGGCCAAAGCAGGAGGGATCTCAGGAAGGAAGAAAGTAAAGAAGCTGGGCTAGCAGGAAAAGCCGTATCCTGGACTCTTCCTGGAAACTCAGAAGGGGGGTTAAGGCCATCTACAGCCTGTAATATTTCTGAGTGGAGACCACCCAACCAATACTAAGCTTTCCAAAGAATTCTGCTAGACAGTGGCCTTATAGAAAGTTTGTAAAAACAGCACAGGCTTGGAGTGACAGGAGTCTCTGTGATGACCTTTCCAGATTCTACAACTTTCTCCACCACCTCTCACCTCCTTCCTTTACTCTCTCCCTCAATTACCCAACCTCAGCTCCCTTACCAGGACCCTGCCTCTATTTCTTCTGTCTTCGTCCCCTAGACTGTCCAATGGGCTCTGACTCACTGTCCCCTTCATCTTCAGCAAGCCGATCAGGAAACTTCTTGCGTTTCCTACGGACATATGGGTGGCCAGGAAGGTGTTTATGCAACAGAGCCACCAGACACTGTTCTGTCTTCACCATGCAGTTCAGCACATGGCTGCCTCGACAGTTGTAAAGCTCAGCATTGGTAAACACTTGCTTCATGTCGGTGAGAAACTCCTGCACAGAGCGATAGCTCCCACAGGAACATTTGTTCTGCATTGTCTGAAAGTCCATGGGGTGAGTGATCACGTCATAGTAGTCCTCAGCCTCGTCTCTAGTCACAGGCTCCCTGTGGAGAAGAACCACGTAGAGACATTAGACTTGAATGCAACTGACAGAAACCTTGCTATCAACTGCCTGCCTC